GGGCGGCAGTGCCATGGAGTGGGGCGTGGCAGCTTCCAGGAGCCCCCCAGGGTCCGGGTGGGACAGGACTGTGGCGCTGGCCACGTGCACATTTCTATCGGGCAGGGGACGAGCAGAGAGGACCCCAACAGGGTCCCAGCCCGCAGCCCCCGCCTCAGCCAGCCAGGTCCCGCCACGTGCCCTCCTCAGGGGTCTCAGACGTGAGCTGGGACCCCTGCGGCTGGCGCCGGGGGGGGCCCGCGTCCAGTGTGCCCTTGCCGCGGTCCTCCCACGTGTCCCGTGTGTCCCCGCTCGTGGACTCGGGTCCGTGGAGCACATGGCTGTCACTGACGGGACTAGAGCTGGCGCAGGCTGTGCTGGGTCCACCAGGGCCCCTGTCCTGTTCTTGTTGAAAGCCACAGGCAGTAACGTGGGCGGTGAGCGAGTCGAAACCCGCCTGAGGGCTCAGCATCGAGCCACAGCGTGGGCGGCTGGGCCCCCCCACCCCGTCTACACCACAGTGGCAATCAGCTCCAGCCCCACCTGCTCACTGAGGACTAGAACGGGGAGAGGGTTGGGGAGTCCTGGGTAAGCGCCAAGCCCGCTCGGGAGGGAAGGTGACTAGGGAAGGCGTCAGAGGCGAGGCCCTGCGACATCCAGCTGGGAGTTCAGCCTGGCCCTTCTCAGCACTGGGTCTCCAGCCCAGTCTGAAAGTGGTCTCTGGGAATGTCAGCACAACCCTGCGCCGTGTGCCTAAGCGTGTTCTGAGGGGTGTCAGGACTCCTCATAGCATGTCCATGTCCGGAGGTCACAGAGCAGTGGTCCACTGGCCCCCAGAGCGCACAGCCTCAGACCTCCAGGAACCGTGGCTCGCACGTCTCTGGCGTGGCCGGGGGGACCTCGCTATCCCTGCATTCTTGTCTGTTCCCCAACAGGCGATGGGCGGGGCGATATTTGCAAAGACGATTTCGACAATGACAGCGTCCCCGACATCGATGATGTGTGTCCTGAAAACAATGCCATCAGTGAGACCGACTTCAGGAACTTCCAGATGGTGCCCCTGGACCCCAAGGGGACCACACAGATCGACCCCAACTGGGTCATCCGCCACCAAGGCAAAGAGCTGGTTCAGACCGCGAACTCAGACCCTGGCATCGCAGTGGGTGAGCCTGTGGGCTGTGAGAACGCCTCGGCGTTCGGGTGGGCATGTGCACGGAGGCAGCCTGCTCTTCCAGGGCACGTGGCTGGGAATTTGCGTGGCCTCCTCCTCGTACGGGGTGAAGCTCTCAGGTCGGAGGAGCTCGGGGTCCTGCCACTCCTCTGTCCGGGGCGTCATGGCCGGAAAGCTGGCTCACCATGTGGACGTGGTCCCTGTGGTGTCACGGCACACGGGGACCAGGCCCTGACTCCCTCGCAGTGCAGAGCGGGGCCAGGAGAGCCGGTCCCTGCTTGACGCGGCCGTGCCGGGACTCCCAGGGCGCCTCCGGCCAGGCCTGGTGACGGGCGTCTCCCTGTGCACCCAGGTTTCGATGAGTTCGGGTCCGTGGACTTCAGCGGCACGTTCTACGTCAACACGGACCGGGACGACGACTATGCCGGCTTCGTCTTCGGCTACCCGGCCAGCACGCG